CTAGTTCTGTTCTAGTTCTGTTCTAGTTCTGTTCTAGTTCTGTTCTAGTTCTGTTCTAGTTCTGTTCTAGTTCTGTTCTAGTTCTGTTCTAGTTCTGTTCTAGTTCTGTTCTAGTTCTGTTCTAGTTCTGTTCTAGTTCTGTTCTAGTTCTGTTCTAGTTCTGTTCTAGTTCTGTTCTAGTTCTGTTCTAGTTCTGTTCTAGTTCTGTTCTAGTTCTGTTCTAGTTCTGTTCTAGTTCTGTTCTAGTTCTGTTCTAGTTCTGTTCTAGTTCTGTTCTAGTTCTGTTCTAGTTCTGTTCTAGTTCTGTTCTAGTTCTGTTCTAGTTCTGTTCTAGTTCTGTTCTAGTTCTGTTCTAGTTCTGTTCTAGTTCTGTTCTAGTTCTGTTCTAGTTCTGTTCTAGTTCTGTTCTAGTTCTGTTCTAGTTCTGTTCTAGTTCTGTTCTAGTTCTGTTCTAGTTCTGTTCTAGTTCTGTTCTAGTTCTGTTCTAGTTCTGTTCTAGTTCTATTCTAGTTCTGTTCTAGTTCTGTTCTAGTTCTGTTCTAGTTCTGTTCTAGTTCTGTTCTAGTTCTGTTCTAGTTCTGTTCTAGTTTCTAGTCTGTTCTAGTTCTGTTCTAGTTCTGTTCTAGTTCTGTTCTAGTTCTGTTCTAGTTCTGTTTAGTTCTGTTTTAGTTCTGTTCTAGTTCTGTTCTAGTTCTGTTCTAGTTCTGTTCTAGTTCTGTTCTAGTTCTGTTCTAGTTTTGTTCTAGTTCTGTTCTAGTTCTGTTCTAGTTCTGTTCTAGTTCTAGTTCTGTTCTAGTTCTGTTCTAGTTTTGTTCTAGTTTTGTTCTAGTTCTGTTCTAGTTCTGTTCTAAATAAATGAATTGGGAAATTATAACATTTCAACGTCCATTTAAAAATATCATACCGCTGGCTGTTTCCATCACAGATAGAAAAGTTGTTAAAATTTCATGTCAGATATTTGAAATTTCCATTTAGCTCAAATTTTTCGTATAACTGCTCCATCTATTACAACTAAAACTTTGAACTTATTAATTTACTTATAATATAATATTTGTGTGTTAGTTCATGGGAAAATGTTCCGGAAAAATACCATGTTTTTTTGTTAATTTTAATGCTTTCATTGTTGCTTTATTTATAAATAAATTGTAAGCTTATTAGCGATTTTAATCAATAGTAAGAACATTGTGTACAACGTATTTTGTTTATGAATATTTATGTATATATTGCGCCACATGGGCGTATAATTGTTGTGGAAATCAAATGATTGTTCATCATACGCGATGTGGGTATTAAAAATTAAGTATACGTCTTGGTACATGGGAATTAAAACTATAAATGAAAATTAAAATTTACAATAAAATTTTTCGAATTAATATTTTACTATTGAACAAATTTAACATCAAAGAGTGGCTTCAAACGCAGAAAGAATAATTATAACAAGTTATTCAAGTTCAGTTCTAGTTAAGTTCTAGTTAAGTTCTAGTTCAGTTCTAGTTTAGTTCTAGTTCAGTTGTAGTTCAGTTCTAGATCAGTTCTAGTTCAGTTCTAGTTCAGTTCTAGTTCAGTTCTAGTTCAGTTCTAGTTCAGTTCTAGTTCAGTTCTAGTTCAGTTCTAGTTCAGTTCTAGTTCAGTTCTAGTTCAGTTCTAGTTCAGTTCTAGTTCAGTTCTAGTTCAGTTCTAGTTCAGTTCTAGTTCAGTTCTAGTTCAGTTCTCAGTTCTAGTTCAGTTCTAGTTCAGTTCTAGTTCAGTTCTAGTTCAGTTCTAGTTCAGTTCTAGTTCAGTTCTAGTTCAGTTCTAGTTCAGTTCTAGTTCAGTTCTAGTTCAGTTCTAGTTCAGTTCTAGTTCAGTTCTAGTTCAGTTCTAGTTCAGTTCTAGTTCAGTTCTAGTTCAGTTCTAGTTCAGTTCTAGTTCAGTTCTAGTTCAGTTCTAGTTCAGTTCTAGTTCAGTTCTAGTTCAGTTCTAGTTCAGTTCTAGTTCTTCTAGTTTCTAGTTCAGTTCTAGTTCAGTTCTAGTTCAGTTCTAGTTCAGTTCTAGTTCAGTTCTAGTTCAGTTCTAGTTCAGTTCTAGTTCAGTTCTAGTTCAGTTCTAGTTCAGTTCTAGTTCAGTTCTAGTTCAGTTCTAGTTCAGTTCTAGTTCAGTTCTAGTTCAGTTCTAGTTCAGTTCTAGTTCAGTTCTAGTTCAGTTCTAGTTCAGTTCTAGTTCAGCTCTAGTTCAGTTCTAGTTCAGTTCTAGTTCAGTTCTAGTTCAGTTCTAGTTCAGTTCTAGTTCAGTTCTAGTTCAGTTCTAGTTTAGTTCTAGTTCAGTTCTAGTTCAGTTCTAGTTCAGTTCTAGTTCAGTTCTAGTTCAGTTCTAGTTCAGTTCTAGTTCAGTTCTAGTTCAGTTCTAGTTCAGTTCTAGTTCAGTTCTAGTTCAGTTCTAGTTCAGTTCTAGTTCAGTTCTAGTTCAGTTCTAGTTCAGTTCTAGTTCAGTTCTAGTTCAGTTCTAGTTCAGTTCTAGTTCAGTTCTAGTTCAGTTCTAGTTCAGTTCTAGTTCAGTTCTAGTTCAGTTCTAGTTCAGTTCTAGTTCAGTCAGTTCTAGTTCAGTTCTAGTTCAGTTCTAGTTCAGTTCTAGTTCAGCTCTAGTTCAGTTCAGTTCTAGTTCAGTTCTAGTTTCGTTGCGAACATATACGGACGTGTTTTAAACCGTGCTGGCTAAATTGTGAGAAAAAACAAGTAAAATTGTCCAAAAAATCCTTTTAAAAATATCAAACAAACTCAATAGTGTTTCCAAAATCAAAAGAAAAAATAAAATAATACAAAAGTGTTAATATTTAAACATATAAAAGGAAATATTTTAAATCAAATCTATAAAATAAATATAAATCAACACAAGTAAAATAAAAAGAATAAATACAACAAAATGAGCAGTGTGATATGTAACCAATGTAAAATGCCAATCACAACAACAAACTTTGTGAAATGCTACAATTGCAACTCAACCTATCATTTCTCTCCTTGTTCTCCTTTATCTGAGTCGACATATTCCACCATGACCAGTGAGAAGAGAAAAAATTGGAAGTGTCACGTGTGCAAGCCGCGTAGCAGATCTCCCACAAACCTTTACCAAGTTGTAGTCTTTGACGAAAATAACCAACAACAAAAACAACTACGTCAAGACGATAGTTTCGATGAAAGTGAAGGAGCGAAAAAATATAAAGAGTCGTTATCTCTTGATGCAGTTAATACGAAACTAAACACCTTACAATCAAATATGCAGGAGATAAAGTCCCAAATAGAGATGCTTGTAGCTAGTGTCAATAGCTTACAAGCCCAAATGAAAAATGATGTGCAAATGGCACTAACAACAATAACCAATTCTATCTCCTCATTAGTTGCTCAAGTTAACGAACTAAACGAAAAAGACAAAATAAAAGAAAAACAAATAAATAGCTTAGACACTCGCATCAACAAAATAGAACAACAGATGATAATTCAAAATATAGAAATAAAAAATGTGGAAAATGAAAAAATAATGCCAATAGAAGTGGTGAAAAATATAGCAGCCTCAGTAAATGTCGAAGTCAACGAAAGTCACATAAACAATGCCTTTCGTTTAAAAAACCAAACTTCTAAAATTATAGTCGAGTTCTCTTCTTATAGCAAAAAACTAGAACTTATGGACAAAATAAAAAGACATAGAGTAGACGCCAAAATAATAAACTGTGATGACAATACTAATAGCAACATCAAGTACATTTACATTAACGATGAATTAACGCACTACTACCGTCGATTGCTATGGATTGCGAAAGCAAAAGCCCGTGAAACCAATTGGAAATATGTCTGGGTCCGAAATGGCAAAATATTTGCCAGAAGATCCGAAAATTGTCCATCCATATTAATTAACAACGCCACAGATATAGAGTCAATAACACCCACAGCTCAAATTTAAATACTTTTTTAATAGACACTTTTCTCGATAAATATAATAAAACAATAAAAAAAGAAAAATCAAAATAAATAAAATGAATAGTAACCAAGAACAAAAACTATTACTTTTTAGTGACATTAATAATGAACACTTAAGTTATCCCGTAACTCTTATTTTTATGAACATCCGATCACTGCGATTGAATTTTAGTTCCTTTCTCGTCAGCATCAACAAAATAATAAACAAAATAAAACTTATAATTTTAGTTGAAACCAATATAAGTGATAGTGAGAATGACATCTACAGTATACCAGGCTTTAACTCCCTATTCCTAAACAGGGAAGGGAAAGGAGGAGGAATAGCAGTATACGTCAAAGAGAGTATTAATTGTACTCAAATCGCTCTAAACACAAATTCTTTTGAAATATTACAAATTGATCTGCATATAAACAATAAAACCATTTCCTTACTCTCTGTTTATCGCCCCCCTGATCATAGTGTAACAGAATTCATAAACGAAATGGAAGCAATAATTACCAGAATAAATAATAAACAAGAGATTATCATTGTAGGAGATATTAATATAGATATACTAAAGCAAAATATAACAACAACAAATTATCTTGATATGCTTTTGGCGAATGGAATGCAATGCATGATAAAAGAAAGTACACGAGAAGATGTAAACAAAAAAACAAGTACCTGCATTGATCACTTGTTTATTAAAAACAATAAAAACACACAAGTAGACGCCGCGATAATAACAACAACAATATCTGATCACTACGCTCTTTTTGGTTGTATAAACAAACAAGAAAATAATCAGGGTACGGAAAATGTAAATGTAATCCAGGGTTCGCAACTAAACAATTTTCTCGTTAATAAAAAAATACAGGAAGTAGATTGGAATATTATAATAAATCAATATCAAAACACTAACGATATTTATAATAAAATATATGAAAAATTTTGTGAAATATATAACAGTTCTTACAGAAAAAAAACCATTATATAAGAAAAGATCTAGTAATCCGTGGATTAGTGAAAACTTGATTAAATATTGTGAAATACGGGATAAACTTTTTAAGAAATGGAAAAATAACAAAAATAACAAAACTTTCGAAAAAGAATATAAACAATTCAGAAACCAAGTAAATAAACAAATAATAAATGCAAAAAACAATTATTACCGTCAAAAATTTATAGAAAATAGAAATGATATGCGCATTACATGGCAAATTATAAACGAAATTATCGGGAAAAAATCAACAAATATTGATGACATGATAATTAAAAACTTTAATGAGGTGTCATTGCATAATATTACAAACTCTTTTGCAAAAAGCTTTGATGAAAATGTGAGTAGTCTTGTTCATAATTGTAATATAAAAACACTAAATAATACAGCTAATACTCAACAAAACTCAATATATTTGTCACATACCAACGAATGCGAAATATATAATATTTTGAATACATTAAATACCAAAAAAGGAGCCGGTATTGATCAAATTAGACCCCGAGATCTAAAATATAACGCCACTATAATCACTCCAGTCATCACAAAGCTCATTAATTCTAGCCTAGAAAATTCAACAGTACCAAATCTACTAAAAACATCCATAATAAGACCAATTTACAAAACTGGATCCAAATCGGAATGCAACAATTATAGGCCAATATCAATATTACCTATAATTGAAAAAATATTAGAAGAAATTGTTGTAAGACGCCTGACTCAATTTTTAACAAGGTATAATATAATAAATAATAACCAGTATGGATTTCAAAAAGGGAAGAGTATTAACAAACTGCTAGGAAACTTTGCAAATTACATTAACTCATGCCTAAGCAGAAATCAACATTGTTTAGTGCTTTTCATTGATTTTAGCAAAGCGTTTGACACATTATCTCACGAAAAGTTATTACAAATCCTAGAAAGAAATGGTATTAGAGGAAACACGCTCAACTGGTTCAAAAGTTATCTCAGCTTCAGATCATATCGAGTTAAAATCAATAATACTTTAAGCGAAGAAACGCATATAAAATATGGAGTACCTCAAGGGTCAAAATTAGGACCAATCCTGTATATTATTTATGCAAATGATATGATTAAAGCTATAGAGAGTCAAACTTTTGCATATGCAGATGATACTGCAATTGTTGTATCAAATAAAAACATACACGAAGCTACTGAAACTATGCAAAAACAACTAGACATTGCAGCAAAATGGTGCCATGACAATGGTCTAGTCATTAATGCCTCAAAAACAAAAATAATGCATATTAAACCACGTCACCTAAATGATTTCCCTATTAATATAAAATTCCATAGCACTGAATGTCTACACGAGAAAACAACAAATCCAAATAACAATAACGATACATGTACAACAAACATTGAAATAGTACAATCATACAAATACTTAGGTGTTTATGTTGACCACGACTTCAAATGGAAAATACACATTGAAGATGTACGAAAAAAACTGCGCAAATCAGCCTATATATTATACCATCTAAGTAACTGCGCAACGTATAGTGTACTTAGACAGGCCTACTTTTCTCTTGCAGAATCGTATATTAGGCACGGAATTACAGCATGGGGTAGCGCTACCTACTGCAAAACCTTACAAAGAACACAAAATCAAATATTGAAAATACTGTGGAAGAACCAACGCTTCTCCACGAATATCATCACAACAGCATACACATCTACTTATACCAATACGCCTGCAGATGTATCCAACGACACACTTACCCAACGATTCTCAACAAACAATACAAGACATAATACGAACACAGCCATAAACAACAACACGTCAACAGTCGTAAATCAAAACAACACACTTCCTCATCGATTATCCATAAACACATATACTGATCTATATCACAACAACACACTCAGCCAAGCAAACTTACCTTTCCATAATATCTCAAACACTTTCTCAGCAGAACACGTAATAAATAACACATACAACAACACTACACTACATAACATTCATCAAAACAACCCATCAATAAACACCATCCACAACAACATTCAACTCTATCAACGAAATATCACCTTCACCCACAACAACACAAACCACAACGAAAACTTCACAAATTCGACGCTAATCAATAACCGAACAACTCACCAAAACAACATCAGTAACTTAGCCAAGGAATTAAAAATACTTAATGTCCATAGTATATATTGTACAACACTTTCGAGCGACTTCTTCAATGATAATCGCTTCCTACATGAAATAGACCATAGGTATAACACGAGAAGCCGAGCACAAGGAAGGTATAAAGTAGAAAGATTCTCTAATGAGTATGGAAGAAACACACTAGGTGTCGCCTTGCCAAATACACTGAACAAAATTCCAGTCAACATTATAAATACAAGAAATGAACATACAAGAAAAAAACTAATGAAATATTTTTTTATAAGTTCGCAATGAACAACACATTTAATTTATTATGAACAAATTGTTAAATTTATTATTAATTAATATGTAAATGATTCTAATTTTATATATTTATTTACCTTATCCTGCTGTCAAGCCAATTGGCTTAGCGGGTTTAATTTTAAGCACATATTGTAATACAAATATTTGAGATAAATAAAATGAAAATGAAAAAAAAAAAAAAAAAAAAAAAAAAAAAAAAAGTTCTAGTTCAGTTCTAGTTCAGTTCTAGTTCAGTTCAGTTCTAGTTCAGTTCTAGTTCAGTTCTAGTTCAGTTCTAGTGCAGTTCTAGTTCAGTTCTAGTTCAGTTCTAGTTCAGTTCTAGTTCAGTTCTAGTTCAGTTCTAGTTCAGTTCTAGTTCAGTTCTAGTTCAGTTCTGGTTCAGTTCTAGTTCAGTTCTGGTTCAGTTCTAGTTCAGTTCTAGTTCAGTTCTAGTTCAGTTCTAGTTCAGTTCTAGTTCAGTTCTAGTTCAGTTCTAGTTCAGTTCTAGTTCAGTTCTAGTTCAGTTCTAGTTCAGTTCTAGTTCAGTTCTAGTTCAGTTCTAGTTCAGTTCTAGTTCAGTTCTAGTTCAGTTCTAGTTCAGTTCTAGTTCAGTTCTAGTTCAGTTCTAGTTCAGTTCTAGTTCAGTTCTAGTTCAGTTCTAGTTCAGTTCTAGTTCAGTTCTAGTTCAGTTCTAGTTCATTTCTCGTTCAGTTTTTGTTCAGTTCCTTTTAATTAAATTATGTAGTCATTAAATTTTTTAAAAAATATGTTCACTTGCAGAAGTGTTTCTTCATGTATCGTGGCTGCAACAATCTCTGGCTCTTTTTGTGTTGTTTTGTGCAACCACATAATTATTTCATTATTAAATAATTATAATAATATTAAATTAACTTTTTCACATTTCGTTACAGATTAATGACAACAATAATAACAACAAAAGAACAGGCAGTAATAAAAACAACAAAGAGCACAACATAAGCGACATCAAACAAACAAATGGTTTGTGGCAGATGGTGTTGTTTGAACAATGACTGAATGTATGAATAAATGACGCAGCAGGCAGCAATGTCACAAAATGGCTACAAAAATAAAATGAAATGAATGAATGAGTGAATGGACCGTTACTGATACGCTAGTCATTTATGGCAATTATAAATGATATTAAATTGACAAATATTATTTTGGTGCAGTTTTAATAAAAAGAAAATAAATTGAAAAAATTTATAAAAAATATTCACATTTATATTAAAAAACACACAAACACGCGCGTTAAACAAAGTTGAAAATAAAAAAAGTGTTAATTAATTGATAAATATTTTAAAACAAAAAAATTTTTATTAAAAATAATTATTGCATAAAAAAACAATAAAGTACAATACTAAAAGAGCAATGTGTTAAAATGACACAATTGGTCATTGTGCAATAAGTGGTTAAAAAACGGAAAAATCGTGTAATAAAAAAATTGAAAAATTAATTAAAAATAATATAAAATTTTGAGAAAAAACTGAAAAGTATTTTGTTTTGTTTTTTAAATTAATAACAAACACTTGAAAAGCACAACTATTAGTTGCAGCATTAAAAACATTAATTAAAACCTGTGTAGTGCAGTAGCATAGTTGTTTTGTTTTTACTTAATTTCCGCTTCCGTTATAAGCAATACCAGAGGGATTTTATATAGAAAAAAGTTATATTTTTTCTTAAATATAATTTAATTTTTCAAACGTTTAATTTAAATTCCCCTAAAGCATTTAATTAATTTGCTAAAATTCTTTGCTTTGTAACGAAATCGGTGGAATTTATAGGAAAAATTTAGTTTTAGAAAAACAAAAAAAAAAAAAAAAAAAAATAGCAAAATGTATATAAATTTAAAAAATCGTGTAAATTCAAATTTAACCATGTGGACTAGTTGTTTTGTGTATCACATATTTATTGTGTTAAGTTGGTCGCTGATGGTGTTGTGGCATACTACTTATATACAGGGTGTGGCTGCGGGTGGTTCAACATCTTCTGCTTCAAGTTCGGTTAATAATGGTAAGTAGAAGTTTTATCAAAAAAACAATTATGAAAAAAAAACTTATGAAAACTTAAGGTATCTACCTTAAAACAAGATCAAATAAATAAAACTTTTTTTTTTTGTTCGAAAATCTAAGAAAACCTAAAAAGATTGTAACTTCACTCAAATGTATTTAAATTGAAAAAACAGTTTTTTATAAAATCTCCTGCTGAAAAAAAAACTTCTTTTGCAATGACCGAAAAAAGAGCTTATCTTGTAATCACTCATATTTTCTCTTAGACAATATAGTTTACATCGAAAACCTTGCTCAGTTCTAGTTCTGTTTTAGTTCTGTTCTAGTTCTGTTCTAGTTTTGTTCTAGTTCTGTTCTAGTTCTGTTCTAGTTCTGTTCTAGTTCTGTTCTAGTTCTGGTCTAGTTCTGTTCTAGTTCTGTTCTAGTTCTGTTCTAGTTCTGTTCTAGGTCTGTTCTAGTTCTGTTCTAGTTCTGTTCTAGTTCTGTTCTAGGTCGTTCTAGTTCTGGCTAGTTCTGTTCTAGTTCTGTTCTAGTTCTGTTCTAGTTCTGTTCTAGTTCTGTTCTAGTTCTGTTCTAGTTCTGTTCAGTTCTGTTCTAGGTCTGTTCTAGTTCTGTTCTAGTTCTGTTCTAGTTCTGTTCTAGTTCTGTTCTAGTTCTGTTCTAGTTTTGTTCTGTTCTAGTTCTGTTCTAGTTCTGTTCTAGTTCTGTTACTAGTTCCGGTTCTAGTTCTGTTCTAGTTCTGTTCTAGTCGTTCTAGTTCTGTTCTAGTTCTGTTCTAGTTCTGTTCTAGTTCTGTTCTAGTTCTGTTCTAGTTCTGTTCTAGTTCTGTTGTTCTAGTTCTGTTCTAGTTCTGTTCTAGTTCTGTTCTAGTTCTGTCTAGTTCTGTTCTAGTTCTGTTCTAGTTCTGTTCTAGTTCTGTTCTAGTTCTGTTCTAGTTCTGTTCTAGTTCTGTTCTAGTTCTGTTCTAGTTCTGTTCTAGTTCTGTTCTAGTTCTGTTCTAGTTCTGTTCTAGTTCTGTTCTAGTTCTGTTCTAGTTCTGTTCTAGTTCTGTTCTAGTTCTGTTCTAGTTCTGTTCTACTGTTCTAGTTCTGTTCTAGTTCTGTTCTAGTTCTGTTCTTCTGTCTAGTTCTGTTCTAGTTCTGTTCTAGTTCTGTTCTAGTTCTGTTCTAGTTCTGTTCTAGTTCTGTTCTAGTTCTGTTCTAGTTCTGTTCTAGTTCTGTTCTAGTTCTGTTCTAGTTCCGTTCTAGTTCTGTTCTAGTTCTGTTCTAGTTCTGTTCTAGTTCTGTTCTAGTTCTGTTCTAGTTCTTCTAGTTCTGTTCTAGTTCTGTTCTAGTTCTGTTCTAGTTCTGTTCTAGTTCTGTTCTAGTTCTGTTCTAGTTCTGTTCTAGTTCTGTTCTAGTTCTGTTCTAGTTCTGTTCTAGTTCTGTTCTAGTTCTGTTCTAGTTCTGTTCTAGTTCTGTTCCAGTTCTGTTCTAGTTCTGTTCTAGTTCTGTTCTGTTCTAGTTCTGTTCTAGTTCTGTTCTAGTTCTGTTCTAGTTCTGTTCTAGTTCTGTTCTAGTTCTGTTCTAGTTCTGTTCTAGTTCTGTTCTAGTTCTGTTCTAGTTCTGTTCTAGTTCTGTTCTAGTTCAGTTCTAGTTCAGTTCTAGTTCTGTTTAGTTCTGTTCTAGTTCTGTTCTAGTTCTGTTCTAGTTCTGTTCTAGTTCTGTTCTAGTTCTGTTCTAGTTCTGTTCTAGTTCTGTTCTAGTTCTGTTCTAGTTCTGTTCTAGTTCTGTTCTAGTTCTGTTCTAGTTCAGTTCTAGTTCAGTTCTAGTTCAGTTCTAGTTCAGTTCTAGTTCAGTTCTAGTTCAGTTCTAGTTCAGTTCTAGTTCTGTTCTAGTTCTGTTCTAGTTCTGTTCTAGTTCTGTTCTAGTTCTGTTCTAGTTCTGTTCTAGTTCTGTTCTAGTTCTGTTCTAGTTCTGTTCTAGTTCTGTTCTAGTTCTGTTTCTAGTTCTGTTCTAGTTCTGTTCTAGTTCTGTTCTAGTTCTGTTCTAGTTCTGTTTCTAGTTCTGTTCTAGTTCTGTTCTAGTTCTGTTCTAGTTCTGTTCTAGTTCTGTTCTAGTTCTGTTCTAGTTCTGTTCTAGTTCTGTTCTAGTTCTGTTCTAGTTCTGTTCTAGTTCTGTTCTAGTTCTGTTCTAGTTCTGTTCTAGTTCTGTTCTAGTTCTGTTCTAGTTCTGTTTAGTTCTGTTCTAGTTCTGTTCTAGTTCTGTTCTAGTTCTGTTCTAGTTCTGTTCTAGTTCTGTTCTAGTTCTGTTCTAGTTCTGTTCTAGTTCTGTTCTAGTTCTGTTCTAGTTCTGTTCTAGTTCTGTTCTAGTTCTGTTCTAGTTCTTCTAGTTCGTTCTAGTTCTGTTCTAGTTCTGTTCTAGTTCTGTTCTAGTTCTGTTCTAGTTCTGTTCTAGTTCTGTTCTAGTTCTGTTCTAGTTCTGTTTAGTTCTGTTCTAGTTCTGTTCTAGTTCTGTTCTAGTTCTGTTCTAGTTCTGTTCTAGTTCTGTTCTAGTTCTGTTCTAGTTCTGTTCTAGTTCTGTTCTAGTTCTGTTCTAGTTCTGTTCTAGTTCTGTTCTAGTTCTGTTCTAGCTCTGTTCTAGCTCTGTTCTAGTTCTGTTTTAGTTCTGTTCTAGTTCTGTTCTAGTTCTGTTCTAGTTATGTTCTAGTTCTGTTCTAGTTCTGTTCTTGTTCTGTTCTAGTTCTGTTCTAGTTCTGTTCTAGTTCTGTCTAGTTCTGTTCTAGTTCTGTTCTAGTTCTGTTCTAGTTCTGTTCTAGTTCTGTTCTAGTTCTGTTCTAGTTATGTTCTAGTTCTGTTCTAGTTATGTTCTAGTTCTGTTCTAGTTCTGTTCTAGTTCTGTTCTAGTTCTGTTCTAGTTCTGTTCTAGTTCTGTTCTAGTTCTGTTCTAGTTCTGTTCTAGTTCTGTTCTAGTTCTGTCTAGTTCTGTTCTAGTTCTGTTCTAGTTCTGTTCTAGTTCTGTTCTAGTTCTGTTCTAGTTCTGTTCTAGTTCTGTTCTAGTTCTGTTCTAGTTCTGTTCTAGTTCTGTTCTAGTTCTGTTCTAGTTCTGTTCTAGTTCTGTTCTAGTTCTGTTCTAGTTCTGTTCTAGTTCTGTTCTAGTTCTGTTCTAGTTCTGTTCTAGTTCTGTTCTAGTTCTGTTCTAGTTCTGTTCTAGTTCTGTTCTAGTTCTGTTCTAGTTCTGTTCTAGTTCTGTTCTAGTTCTGTTCTAGTTCTGTTCTAGTTCTGTTCTAGTTTGTTCTAGTTCTGTTCTAGTTCTGTTCTAGTTCTGTTCTAGTTCTGTTCTAGTTCTGTTCTAGTTCTGTTCTAGTTCTGTTCTAGTTCTGTTCTAGTTCTGTTCTAGTTCTGTTCTAGTTCTGTTCTTGTTCTTAGTTCTGCTTTAGTTCTGTTCTTGTTCTAACCTATATAATCTATACCCAGTTCTTGTTTCTACCATATTTTGCATTCTTCTGTATAAAAGAGTCCCTAATATAACACTTTTTGTCCCTAGTCCCATTCTCTGCTTGTCTTACACAAAATGCCAACAATATATAATACATATTGTTTGACATAATTATTTGCTAATGATATTTAACACTTGTTTAAGTATAAACACTAAAACAAAAGAGCAAAATACAAACCCCTTAAAACAAATACCAAAACCCAAAAACACTTAGCCAGCCATACGTTTATAACGTATTTATGTTAATAAACACAAATATTATTTGGCATACAACCTTCAAATACATAAACAAAACCATAAAAATGTTTCCGTTTCCGGCTGACGCTCAAACAGACCTTTTTGTTTCAAACGTAGAAACAAAAAAAAAAAAAAAAAAAAAAGAGAAATAAATAAAAGAACAATGAACAGATTTTTCATGTTAAGTGTCAGTTTTTGGTATGTAAAGCATCATGTTGTACATATATTTACACACTACCGCACACATTTACACTTGGAAAAACACTTGAAAAAGTGAGAAAAAACACAAACACTTGTAAACTTAATATTCGCTCATTTCTATACTCTCTTAAACATACAGACATTTTGACTCTGTCTGCTTTGAAAAATGTTAGTGTGTTGTTTTGTCTGTCTGTCTATCTGTGTGTTTTTGTATTAAAACACTCATGTGCCAAATTAAGTGTAATTTTTATTATATTTACAACCATTTTTTTCAGCTTGTTTCGTGCCTTTTGTAAAATTATACAAATATTTTTTTATATT